TTCTACAGAGCATCCAGGAATAATTTTTTCTCTGCACACCACTGAGCTCCAAAGGGATGAGGGAGACTTTTCCAGCTCCCTGTGCAGGGTTGGAGATCCCTGGCTGGCAGAGTGGAGATGCAGCTCTCCCTTCTGGGACCACAACAACACGGGATTTAAATCCAGGTCTCGTTTAAATCCAATTGAACTTCGATTCCCAGCGGAGCGGAAGCGTGGAACGCACATTTCACCCAAGGCCAGAGGGGCCATTCCTTTTCACAGCACATTTGTTCATCTATCAACTGCCCTTTATTCCCATCCCAGCCTGGGAACACGGCTCTGTGCCACAAACAGGCTGCATCCATTGTCACAGCAATAAAGGAAAGGGATTTTATTGCTAAAAACATCAGTTACCCCAAAGCCAACCCCGCACATCGCAGCAAGAGCAGCTTCCTGTTTGTCCCAGCCTCAGAGCGAGCAAATTCTCACAAAAAACACCATAAATTAAATTATTTGCTTGCCTGAGACAGCACATTAACCTTTCTTAGACATTCTGGAAGACACAAATGTTGGTTTTATAGCCMAAGCAAGTCAAACCTACGCTTCTGCTCACACCGAGCCCGACAAAYTGCTGTCAGCACCACGGAATTTGCATCAGCTACTTCCTGTTTCTACAGGCAAAAGAAATAAAGATGGGACAACTAAATTAGGAACATACCACAGTTTATTTCTGAGCTGACACTGGAATATCTCAGGGGATCAGCTACCAGATGATTTCCAACATTTATATCTGCCAAAAGCCCAAAGAATTTTTTTTTTTTTTTTTTTTACACAGTTCAGCTCCTCAAGGCAGGAATTATTTGAAGCAAGACAGGAGTCAAATGCCTGAATTTAGTCAGTGGTCAGGAGCAGTTCTGAACACAAGACAGCTATTGCTGGTCCCAGCAGCTGCCAGGACAGAGATCTCTGCTGTTTATAGTCCAACAATACTTGCTGACATCGCGCCAGAACCCGTGCTGGCTGCTCCTGCTATTTCAGATCCACTTTATTTAGAAAACCAAGAGTGCTTTTAAAAAAAAAAAAAAAAAAATCCATCTGGCTCCTATTCCAGCTTTCCCATATACCAAATCCTCCTGGAGCCATTTAAAATGTTATTTGGTATTTTGCTCACATGTTGAAGAGGTGGTTAAAGCTCAGCACTGRAGCCAAGGCTCCTTTTTCAGCAAAATTATCTGAATTAGGAGGGTTTGAACTCGCCAGTCTCTGTTACCACACTCCCCTGACTTCCTTTCCCTGTCAGAGAAACGAATCCAGCAGGGAAGGATTGGGATCTGAGCTAATTTGGGTGCAGCACCAAGCTCCAAATCAGGAATTCCGAGCATGGAAGCTGCTCAGCATCCCTCCCGCTCCTGCTCCGGCACGGGCCGCTTGGCTGAACTTTCTRCATCAATAATAGGGGGTATTTTTGGCTTCCAGAAAGCTCAGCAATATTCCAGGGACACAAGGATGGCCCCTAGAAAAAAACGGGCACACAGCAGTGTCTTGATGCCACAAATTCCCGTTTTTTCGGGGCATCTGCAGCACTGGGGGAGTTCCAGAACCCGAAATCCTACACTCGACGCACAAAACATCCCTATTATTATAATTTTTCCATTTTGCTCTCACAGAATCCCACACTCGATGCACAAAACATCCAGATTATTATTATTTTTCCATTTTGCTATCACAGAATCCAAAKGAATCGCACGTTTATCCCATCCAAACCATTAGAAAAGGCAAAAYGCAGAGGAGGAATCAGCAACAGGCTGAGGACAGGAATCACCCCGGGAAAACGGAGCACAAAAATCCTCGCTCGGGGCTGCGGCAAACGGGGGAAAAGCCGGATCAGGCACCCTGATGGATCAGTCACCCTCCCGGTGAGTCGGTGCCGCCCCGGTACCGTGTGACCCGCTGGGGAACCGGCACCGTTCTGTGCCCGAATCAACCCCAAAACACCGCGTTTGGCGGATCTGCCCCCGCAAGCGGGCCGGGATCCTCCCCGGCACCCACAGCCCGGTGTCCTGCCTCCGGTCCCGCCCCACGGCAGTGAACGGCTGTGTCCCCCCGGTGTTCCCGGTGCTCCCGGTGTTCCCGGTGCTCGGTGCCAGCCCCGGGGATGGGTTATGCCCCCTCACCCGGTGCCCGCTGCCGTTCCCCGCTCACCTCCAGCGGTACCGTACCCACAACCGGGCCCTGTCCCCAGCCCTATACCCGCTCCCGCTCCCGGTCACCGCCCCCGAGGCCGGGCCATCTCCCGGTACCGCTCTCCGCTCACCCCGCCAGCACCTCCCCCAGCTCCCCCCGCATCCCGGTGCCGCTCTCCCCTCAGCCCCACGCCCGGTTTGGCCGTGCCCGCTGCCGGTGCCCGCTCACCCTCACCTCACGCCGCTCCCGCTCCGCCGCTCCCGGCGCCGCCCCGACCCCGCCGCTCCCGCCGCTTCCGGCCCCCGCCCCGCGCGCCGGATGTGCGCACGGAGCGCGCGGAGAGGGGCGGGGCCTTGGGGAGGCCGCAGCGATGCGATTGGCGGAGGAGAGCGGGGGCGTGGTTAAAGCCTGTGGGGGGGTGGAGCGGGAGGGAGGAGCTTCAGGGGTGATACCGGTCTGTGATTGGTRGATTGAGATGGAGGCGTGGCCGAGCGGGACGGGGCGGGGTCGTGGGCGGG